TCCCATAACAGACCACGTGATATTCTCTAGACAATTGTTTTATCCATGTAAAGACTTCATTGATATACACGCGACTATTTGAAAATTTGCAAGCAAGTATTATCAAGAGTATAATCACATGGTGTGAAATGGGGCAACAAACCGCCCGAGCTAAAAAGGTCCATTAGCCATTTAAATAGAATGTAGATTTATGACTGCTTTCAAAAACCTTTACGGGTAGAAGGTATTCGACGGATCATGTTTATCGCTCTTTTTACATGTCATGGTGTCGGTTAATGTACTGATTCCTCTGGCCTTTTAGGGGTGGAACTGAATTGGGGCCACGCCCACAAAACGAGGTTTTGGTACCTCCTAGGGGTTCTCTGAAAATTTCCCACGAGGACCCCTTCACTTTAACATGGGAGCTCCCCCTCCCCGGGGGGCATTAACTTTTATTGGTTATCAAAGCCACATTCCCCATGTTAGTTTCTGAGTAGCCCGGGGGTGTACTCCCAGAAAAGTTGGGTTGGGGCGTGCGGCCCACTTCCCATAACCCTTACCCTAATTATGACCAAAATCTTCGATTCTTGCTACCCTATTTATGACCTAGCCAAAATTTCGATACCCTTTTTATGAGCGTTGCGGCTGGCACAGAGTCCCTAAACATACGTTATGAAAGGCTTTTGTTGACGGTCCTACTGATAGTGATGAAAAAGTAGCTTCTTCTAGGAAACATACCCAATTCAAGACGAGTTGCTAAAACCATACCCTATTTAAGACCAAAATGGCCAAAATCGATACTCTGTTTATGACCAAAACGGCTGAAAATCCGACCCTTTGGGGCCGCACATACCTATATAGCCCATATAAGGGAGTACCCCCTCCCCCCGGGCTGACTAGTTAACGCCTAGAGAATAGGCTTCTAACAGAAAGGACTGGTTGATTGTAACAGTCGTGAGGTTGTCAGATTGTGATAAACAATGCACGAACGAGACCGAGTCACTCGATCGTTCTTCGGAAAATCATCGTATTCATACTCGGCACTGTTTGGTTAGTAAGTTGAACACCGCTGAAAGGATACCGTAATAGCAGTTGAGAAGTTAAAAAAGAATGTGCTTAATGCATTTACCTTCGAGAAAGAAAAACAAAGACATTCAAATAAGCCAACGAACAAAACATTAAGAGATTTCACTTGAGAATAGGGTGCGGACACACACTAAAGGATGTAGTGGTCCCAGTTTTATTAAACGAGTGGATTTTCCAGCCTGGACACCGAAAATGCTGTAGGAACACGATAAACGATCAACAATAAAAACAAACAGTCAAGTAGTTTAGTTTATGCTGGTTAGCCCGCGTGACGGTTGTTTCCTGTCCAATCACAAGAGGCGAACTGGGTTGGGACGAAACAAAATCTTGGCAGAAAAGCTCTTCGTTCTGCTTTCGCGATTGAAAATGTAACGACTGTTGCACAGGCTAACACTGATTTATGAAGAACATTCTCCATTTACTTTACAGTTACTCTATTTTTTCGATGGCAAAGAAACATTTACCTAACATTTTCACTGGCGCTTCTTTACAATTCAGTCGGTTTTCTTCTTGCGCGATCAAGGAAATGAGAACACAGAGAGAATTTGGAAAAGTTCCTGACATAAAAGATTTGGTCTCCCCTCCCAAGGGACCGTAAAGGAGATGGGGCTTGGGCGCTTTTAACCTCCCCGGTCAACCGAGGTGGCTCGGTTTCCGAGATCTTGCCTCGCTGCTTTTTTCATTGTAAAAATATTTCGATAGCCAGACCAGCCCGGCTTCTCGTATGAACGCATCGAAACTTTTTCGGGACCTTTCTGTAGATCACCTACGGGTGAGAAAGCTTCCCGTTAAAATATCATTAAATTTACGGAGAAAAGAGTGGCGAAATCTCGGAAACCGAGCCAGCCCAGTTGACCAGGCTCATATGAAGAGGCCCTCGGATGGTTGACTTACCTATATTTAGCAAGTTGGGTCCACACTGACGACCAACCGTCGTTCGTTAATCCTCATGGCCCCCAGTGGGGCATAGCGCCGCGACGACCAACCGTGTTACACTGTTTATGAAAAAACCAGAGAGACTCTTTCAAATCATATATAATCTCAACAAATTAAGCAGAGTAGCAGTTCCTTCTGTGTGATGAATTATTGAGCAATAAATGCTTTTCAAAGTTGTTGAAGGACGGTGGTAACAGTTGAATGACATTAAGATCGTAGCAACTGTCTGAACCCAGCAACATGTTAAATGGCATGAGTCATCGGCAATTACTATCTTCCTAAAGCTTCTCAAAAATCCAGCAACCAGTGCAGTTAGGAAGAGACCGTTTACTGTTGCTTCTTTTTCAATAAACATAACCTGGAATGAATTCCCATGATAGAGACCTGGGTTAGAGGCTGCTGCCACACCCCCCCCTTCGGGGGTGAAGGGGGCGAGAGGGCAGGGGGACTCCCTTATAACGGTGACGGGGGTGCTCGTTTTATCTTTTAGGGGTTAACGCACGTGTTGAAGAACGGTAATAGTT